AATTACTTTTTTTTTTTTTTTTTTTTTTTTTTTTTTTGTTGGATATTTTTAATTATATTATTTAGTTCATAAAAAAAAATTTATATAAAACTCAAAAAAAAAAAAAAAGGAAGAAACATGCGTTTAAATTGTATATATATATATATATATATAGATATAATTTTATTATATATTTTTTTTATAATACTATTTAACTTATTCTTATATAAAATTTTAATAATAAAAATATTTTTCAATTTATTTATACTTCATTTTCATATGTACCTAATGCTTGATGTAATACTTTTTTAAATTGTTTTTATAATATGAAATTACCAGAAATAAATTAAATATTATTATCAGTAATAAAATAATATAAATATTTTTTTTAAACAATAATTAATCTGGTTAATTTAAAAGTTTAAAAATTGTTTTTCTTATATATATATTTATATATTATGTATATATATTATGTATATATTTACTTTAAATTTTTAAAAATATAATGACATATGCTATATATATATATATAAAAATTAAATTACTATCCATATATATTAAAAATATAAATCATATTATAAAAAATCTTAAAGTGAATGATAAAATGAAATAAATACTTAAAATTATTTACAGTATATAAATTTTAGTTAAAAGGTTAATATAAAAATGGTTTTGAATTTCTTATTTTTTAAAAACCATTATTTATTCTTAAAATATTAATAATATAACAATTAATGTTTAATTAAAAAGGATTAAATTTTGAATAAAAATATTAAGTTCTCTCGATTAAAAAAAAAAAAAAAAAAAAAAATTTTTTAAATAATTTGAAATATTAAGACATAAACCAATATTGACAAATAAAAAGAGATTGATTAGTGTTTAATATAAAAAATTAAACTTTTCTAAAAAAACTGTGATTTTAAATAAAAATAAACAACAATGTTCAAATAAACTTTTTTTTTTTTTTTTTTTTTTTTTTTTTTTAATTAATATATAATACAAATTATTCACATTCATTAATTAATATAATATAATATAATAATTGAGTTATTGGTTTATTAACTGGGTGTTCGTTGACTTTGCTAGAATACTAAAAAAACAAATTAATAATGAGCAAGTAGAGTGGCCTCTACGATTTCTGATGTATATATATATATTATTAAATGCTTTGAACGAGTGATCCTTAATTGTGTGATCTACTTCGTTCAGAATTCTTTAATTTCAATAGGCATTTATTTACTTTAATAAAAATCTATGTTTTTATTAATAATTTTTATCCTTACTGAATATTGATTATTAATTAAAGGTATATTACTTATTTCTTTGTTATTATTTATATCCAGCAATTTAAATATATTATTGTTGAATTAACAAATCATAAACAATTAGTAAAAATACAAAATTAATTATATGAATATTAATTACGTTAAAATTTTTAATTTTCATGTATAAAATTTTCTCTCACATAAAAAAACTAATATCAAAAAACTAATAGAAAAAATTAAAACATAATATATTTATGTAAATATCTTTTTTACTTTTAATATCTCATTCTTGTTGGTAACAAATCTTTTTCCAATTGATTTTTTTAACCCATTTTTTTCCTAACGTTTTTTTTTTTCTTAAAAAAAAATATGTATATTATTTTTTTTACGTCTTTTTATTAATAAAAATAAAAACAAAAAAAAAATTTATCATTTTTTTTTTCTTTTTTTTTTTTTTTGTTATTTGCGTGTGAATGACCAACTACGTATTCTTCCTATAAATAGTCCTTTCTATTTCCAAAAAGGTTAATAAAGCCTTTTATTAACCAAAAACTTATTACCTATTTATTATCTAAATAATTAAAAATTCTATTATGTGTATGTATTTGTCTTTTTGCTTGTATCTTAAGAGAATCACATCCATTTGAAAAATAAATTGGATTATATTTCTTCATGTAGGAGATTATCTAATTATCAGTTTTATGAAATAGTACATAGGACAGGTTAATAATGTCCTGCTTAATAATTCTTAATATTTTATTAGGATTTTTCTTTATTAATTCGCTATTTAAATAATAATGTTAATTAAACTATCAAATTAATTAAGATTCACAAAGTTCGTTATTAGATTTTTGTTCCATTGTTTTCAATAGATTATAAAGTATTTAAATATAATTATGTTAAATAACGTAAAATGAACAATTTATTTCATATAAAATTTAAATTCCTTGAATATTCGTTAATAAAAGGCTTTATTAACCTATATGATAATAAAAAGAACTAGCTATATGAAGAATACGTAGTCGGTGACGAACACGAAAAAAAAAAAAAAAATAAAAAAAAAAAGAAAAAAAAATTATTGGATTTTTTCATTTATTTTTCTTCTAATAAATTGGAAATACATAAAAAAAATATATTTATTTTTTTCAAAAATATTTAATGAAAGAAGGAAAAATGGTAAAATAAAAATAGGGAGTAAGATTTGTTACCATTGAAAATGAGATCTTAAAAAGATAAAAGATATTTACATATAAATGAGCTTAATTTGCAAAGCATTTACATTTTTAATTTATCAGAGAAAATTTTATACATTTGACAATAAAATTATCACGTAATTAATATTAATATAATTAATTTGCATTTTTACTAATTGTTTATGTTGGTTAATTCAACAGCAGTATATTTAAATTGATGAACATAACTCATAAAAAGAAATAAATAAAATACAAATAAATAATAATAATTAATATTCAATATTCAATAAGTATTTAAATTTTCAATAATAATAAGGATTTTTAGTAAAGTAAATAAATGCCTATTGAAATCAAAGAATGATGAATGAAGTAGATTACATAATTAATAATTAATCGTTCAAAGCATATAAAAATATATATAAATAAATCAAAATCGTAGAGGTAACTCCGCATGCTCTTTATTAATTTATTGGTTCAGTACTCTAGCAAAGTCACCGGACATCTAGTTAATAAGTCAATACTCTAACTAAGTCACCGAACACTTAGTTAATAAATCACTTCATTAATATGTTTGCTCAATACTATAGAAAAGTTATGGAATAAGAAATAAATAAATTAATATTTCAACTGAAGAATTAATCATTTCAAAAAAAAGTAAATATATTTTTTTTTTTTTGTATTTAAAAATTAGAAAAAGAAAACAATGAAATTAACAATTAATTTTTTTTTTTTTTTTTTTCTTTGAATCTAGAATTTGCATGCATAACTATATATTTTCCACACAACTATTACCGTTTATTCTCAAGAAGGTTAATAATAAATTTTATTAATGAACATGAAATTTCTAAGTAAAAGAAAAAAAGAAAAAAATAGTTAATGGTTTTTTTTATTTTTGTAATTTAAATACACAAAAAAATAAATTTTTTCTTTTTTCAAAAGGAATTTAGTTGTCAAAAAATAGAAGAAAAAGTTATTGAATATGAAAGCTTATTGTGGTGTATTTTTATTTAAATTAATATAAGAAAATTTTATATTAACTATAATATAATTTATGTGTTTTGTAGTACTTACGTAATATAATTTGAATTTTATCAATTATTTAGCTTGTTAATTTGAGAGCAATAAATTTGAATTGTTAAATATAAATCATAATATAAGTAAAATAAATGTAATTAATATTTTATTAATTTCTTATTCATTACTTTTCTAGAGTATTGAAAAAAAGGATTAACAACGAGCATATAGAGTTTCCTCTACCATTTAAATGAATTTAAATTTGTTTTTAATACTATAAACCACTGAAATGTATATGGTCTACTTCATTGAGCATTTATTGTTTTTAACAGGAATTTAATTATTTTAATAAAAATTCCTATTTTTATTAGAAATTTAAATCTCTATTAATTATAGTTTTAAATTACATATATTTTACTTTAATGTTATCATTAACGTTTAACAATTCAAATTCACTTCTTGCGAATCAACTAATATAAATAACAAAACACAAAATAAGTTATACAATACTACAAACACGAAAATTTTTTATTGTTAATATAAAATTTTCTCTCTAAAATTCAAAGATAAAAATTTTCCACGAAAAAACGCCTTATCAAGTTTTCTTCTATTTTCTAATAACTTGAATATTTTTTTCACAATATTCAATTCTTTTTTTCTTCATTTATCTAGTACTTTCATGTCTCTTTATTTTCCATAAAGCTATTAATTTTTTTCTCAAAAACGCTGATAATTCCTTTTATTAACAAAACTTTAACTATAATAATTCTCAATAAAGACTTTTTTTTTTTTATCCTTTTTGTGTCCTTTTTTTGTCATGTAGGTAAGCTGGTAATAGTTTTGCATCCAACTTTTTTTCTTCTATTTTATCCTCTACATTTACTATCTGATTTATTTACTTTCCATAAATTACATTTTTAATTTATTAAATTATCATTAAGTGAATTTGCTAGAGTAATGAAAAACAAATTATTAAAGAGAATATGGAGTTTTCTCTAGTAATTAAATGGATTTTAAATCTAATATTAATGATATAAACAAATAAACTACAATAATGCGGTTCATTGTGAATTTACTCTGATAAAAATATGTATTTTTATTAAAAACATATATTCTCATTAATTATTAATTTTTAATTACAAAATAATTATTGCTTTATATAAGTAATTTTCAGTAATATAAGTTCACTGCTTTTAAAAATAATAAAAATACATAAATAATAAAAAAAAATTTTAATTATATTATCACTTAACGAAAATTTTATTCTTAAAAATTAAAAAATATTCTTATGAAATTTTTCCTTTCTAAAAAATTTTTCTCTTTTAATTTTTTTTTTTTTAAAAAATAAAATATATTTCTATAAAAAAAATTTAAAAAAAATATTAATTTTTCTTTTTTTTAGCTAGATCCTGTGCATGACTAATCCTATATTCTCTGTTTAACCATTAATTTTTATTCTCCTTAAGATTATCAAAACAATAAGTAATTTCCAAATTTTTAATTTATAATTTTTTATTTCATTTTTTCCTTGCTCTTTCTTAAATTCGGATTATGTTGTATTCTCTCTCATATCTTCTTTAGATTTGGATTCTGTTTTATTGTCTGTCACTTCATTCATAGATTTGGATTCTGTTTTTTTGTCTGTCATCTCATTCTTAGATTCGTATTCTTTTTTATTGTCTGTCATCTCTTTCTTATATTCGGATTCTGTTTTATTGCCTGTTATCTCTTTCTTAGATTCGGATTCTGTTTTATTGTTTGTCATATCTTTCTTACATTCGCATAAAAATTTATTAAATTCTGAGTCAAATTCATTCATAAATCTATCAATTTTTTCCTTTTTTTGTTTATCTGGAATATTACTACGAATTATTGGATATAATAGATCATTAAATTTCTTATTTGAAAACATCTGAAAATCAACATACCATTTTTTTAGTTTCCATTCATGGTCCATTTGACTTGTCTCATTGTTAAATCGCTCCCATAATATTGGAAGCTTGAACTTAAACCAATAATTGTACGGATACGTGTATTTATCCGGATCCGTACTTTCTTTTTTTTCATTATCTAATGGACTTTTATTTAGACATCCTTCAGCGTTTGTTTGCTCTTTTCCTTCTGTGTTACCCTCTGCTAATATTCTTTCATATTTTAACTCATTTTTTGTTTAAAAATTTTTTTTTTTTTTTTTTTTTTTTTTTTTTTTTTTTTTTTGTTTTTTTTAAAATTTTTTAAAATTTAAAATTTTTTTTTTTTTTTTTTTTTTTTCGTAATATATAATTTTAAAAGGTCTAATTTTTTAGAGAAAATGGGGAAATTAATGAAATACTAATGTGTACATTTCATTTATTATTCTTAAGCTCATAATTTCCATTTAAAAAAAAAAATTAGCATTAAATAAAAAAAGTAAAAACTTTACATTTTCATTGTTATATATATATATATACTCATTCTCCTATAAAAAATTATTGAAAATTAATAATGAAAAGTAGAAAAATAAAAACATACATTTATATTTTTTGTATTTTTAAAAATTTAAAATTACGAATTTTATAAGATATTAATTTAAAAAAAATAGTTATTGTATTTTAACTTATATAAAATTCATACCTAATATTACACAAAAAAAAAAAAAAAAAAATCTTAATTATATGTGAATTTTTTTTTTCCATGTTTAATAAATATTTTCTAAAAAAAAAATATTTATAAAAATACATATGAATTAATTATTTTAAAAATAATAGACAAATGAAAAGTTATTAAAAGCTACAAAAAATATTTTCATAACATGTTTTCTTTAAAAACTGTTGAAATTTTTCATACAAGGTTATTAAAATAAAAAATTGTAATAAAGAATAAAATATTTATTATGAATTCGTTTTCTCATTTTTCTTCATGGTAAGAATAATGACAGATGAGAAATAAATTATATATATAAAAGAGTGCTTTATTATTTTATGTAGTATAAGAATAGTTGTATATAATTAATATATATATTTTCATTTATAGCATGAATAAGAAATTTTTAAAAACCTATAAATATAAAAAAAAAAAAATCTTTTCTATTTTAAATTTTTCATTTCATATATGTTTATCTTTCTGAATTTCTTCTTTTATAAGAGATATTATAATTCGTTGAAATTAAAAAATATCCATTTTTATCTTATGTAAAAAAAAAAAAAAAAAAAATGTAACAATGAATTTGTGGCACATTATTTTATATAATGTTTACTTTAATGTTAGGAATAATTTTACCTACCATAAAGGTATTTTTAATAAAAAAAAAATATATATATATAAAGGTACATAATCTTTATGAAGAAAATAAAAGCGAAACATTTAATTAAAATAAAAAGTTTTTTATTTAAAATATAAAAAAAAATACATACCGTTCTAAGGATAAATCTAAAGGAGTATCATTTTGATCACTGGAAGGGTTTGGTGAAACAGGTAAGTTAAATATTTGAGATTGTCTTTTCATTAATGTCCTTTTGCTAACAAACACATCCCTATAACAAATAAATGAAAATTAATTAATAATAAGAGAATTTTCTACATACAAAAAAAAAATTTATTTAAAATAAACATTTTTCAACATGAAATTATCCCTCAATTAAGTACCTTTCCTTGCATACATCTTGGCATTCATCATTTTGCTGTTCTTGGGAAATACATATATTAATTAATATTAAATATTGAAGAAATAAAAAAATAAAATTTTTGTATAACATTTATTTAAAATTTATACTACTTATTCTTTAGCTAAAAATAATCATAAAAGCAGAATAAAATGATTTACTACTAATATAGTAAAACTTTATGTAAATACTATTAAATACAATGATTTAAATTAATTTTTTAATGAAAAATGTTTATCTTTGAACTTCATATAATTAAAAACTAAAATAACTTTAATACTTTTCATAAGTTAAATAACTATATAATACACAAATTATTAATCTTTAATCTAAAATATATTAAAAATCTACATATATATATTAAAAATCTTATATAAATATTTTTTTGCATTTAGTCAGATTTGTGCTACACTGCTTTCTTTCAAATGAGTAATTTAATATTTATATATGCTTGTAATATTCATTTAAAAATGAATGCTAATTTTTATAGAATTATCTATAAAAGAAAATATACTTTACGGAAATTTTATATAGTATCCACAAATAAGATATGTTAAAATTATGANTATTGAAGTGGAAGTTGTTAATTCAAGTGTAAAATTGTTTCAATTTTCAATAATGCTAAATTATGGATTTGTAATATTAATTTAGATATTATTATAACTTGTATTAATTTCTTAAATTTTTAAAATAGAAAATTATTTTAATATATGAAATGTAATTTCTAATATTTTATTATTACATATGATATTATGGTTACTTTGGATAGGAATATTATTCTTAATTCTTTAAAAAATAAAATAAGAATGTTAATTAACAAATAAATAAAAAATATAATAAATCGGATAAAGTTATTTTAAAAATATTTTATTATAATTTTATTTATCTTTAAATTATGTAAAAAAATAAAATATTTTTAATTTAATTCACATAAAAATTATGAATGATATACATTTAATGCTAAAGGATTTTTTTTATTTTTTTTTTCTAAATTACTAATCTCTGTGAATTATGTCGAACTTTAAATTATTTTATATACGGTATATTATGATTTATAAATATAAATCTTCGTATATTATAGAGATATATCTCTATCAAAAAAAGAAAAAAAAACTCTATAAATTAAAAATTTTTATGCGCATGTATCTTTCATACAGTACACTACATTTGTGACAATTTTTCACTTAATATGAAACTAATTTTTGTTTGTTTATATTTTTCTTTTAAATAAAACTTTTTTGATTTTTCTTATATACTTTTTTTTATTTTAATTCTTTTTTTTTATTTTTATTATTGATAAATGTTTATATAATATATGTATATATTTATTTTTTGTTATAACAATTTTTTAAAAAAAATTACTTTTTCAACTATTTGAAAAAAAATAAGCAAAAATTTATTAAGTACTTAAATTGAAAAGAAAAAGTGAAGATAGGTATTTATTTTTAAGAAATTATAATAAAAAATCTTATAAATAGCATATTTAAAAGTGAAATAAATTAATTACAATTTAAAAAAAAAAAAAAAATACTATTTTTTTAATCATATATTTAAAGTAAAAAATATTTTTTAAAAAAAGTTTTTTGACAAATTTACTTTATTCTAAAAATATATTTCTGTGAATTTACTTTTTTACTAGTAATACTTATTAGTTTCAATTTTAATATAAATATTATTTACTGAATATAAAAATATATCTTTAGTTAAATATAATAGATTTTTTCTTATAAAATTCAAAAGAAAGCATTTTTATCATGATATAAAAAATATCAATAAATAAAGATAAAACAGAATTATAAAATAACTTTTTGTATATATATTATTATAATCTTCTAATTAAATATAAAAAAAATAAATTTTTTTTTTTTTTTTTACCTTTACATATTTATTTGATAAGTGTTGATTATTATTACGATGTGTTTATTTTCTTTTTTATTTTTGGTTATATATATTTATTGCACAATTTTTTATTTTTCATTTTACTTACGAAATTTATGTAAATCATTTATATAGTATAAATGAATTCAACAATTGTCCCTTTCTAATATAACTTTTTTCTTAATAGGTTAAATTTTATAAGACATCTTTGTAAATATTAATGGAGAATATTAAAAGAATTATTATTTTTTAAATTTAATTTGTTAGAATCTTTGACGTATTATTAATAAAAAGTGATGTGCATAAATTCTGTCATTTTTAATATTTTAACACTAATTTTTCTCTAAGAAATAATCATAAATTTAATAAAAGTGCATTTTTTATGATTTACATTTTTTTAATATTATATGTAGAAGTTGTTCTTACAAGTAAAAATATGTAAAATATAAGTGTCTTGCATTTAACATAGATATTACATGATATTAAAATAATTTGAATAGTGTATGTATTGGAGATATAGAAACTTAAATTATTCAAGTAACAGTTTATGAAGTATAAAAATGATTATAATTATTATAAATAAGATAATATTCCTAAGGAAAAGGAATTATTTATAGCTCTGATTTATTAATGGCTGTTAAAATACTTTTCTCGTGTTAAACAAATAAATTAATAAGGAAAATGTAGTGTAAACTCTACTTAATTTTAATATAAATTTTTTATTTTTTATTAATAAACATTAAATATAACTTATTAGTTAATTATTTTTTTTTTAATATAAGCAACCCTCCAAAATGTAATTTCCTTAATATTACATTTTAGCTTAAAGTTATACATTCTATAGTAGTCTACACATTATCCTTCAAAAATGAAAAAAAAATAAAAACTAATTTTTTTTCTTAAGATTACATTTTTTTTTTTTATAATAAAAAAATATCATCATAATATATATTTTTTTTAATTGTAAATACCCACATAAAAAAAAAAATATTATTATTTATTTATTTTTTTTTAAGCGCACTCACATTAAGTGTAAGTAAATATATACATATATTTTTTGTTTATATACTTTTTGAATATCTATTTTAGAGCAAACATTTATGATAGCAGATTGTCCTTGCGAATTAGCATGCACAAAATAAAATGTTTTTATTCTATTTATTTGTGTAAATATTATACAAAGAAGGTCAATTGTATTGTTTATAGAGCAATGTATAACTGGTTAATAAAAGGCTTCATTAAACTTTTTGGTTATAAAAAGGACTATCTATGTGAAGAATACGTAGTTGGTTGTGCTAACTAAAAAAAAAGAAGATATTTGTTTTTTTTTTAAATGATATATCCAGAGAGGAAAAGAGAAGATTGGTAAAATAAAAGTCGAGAGTAAGAATTAGTACCAATGAAAACGAGATTTTAAAAAGATAATAAAGTTTTAATAAAAGAGTTTAATTTGCATAATATTTATATTTTGAATTTGTGAGAGAAAATTTTATACATATGACAATAAAATATTTGCGTTATTAATATTCACATAATTTATTTGCATTTTTGATAATTGTTTATGTTTGTTAATTCAACAGCAATATAATTAAATTCCTGAACATAACCAATAACAAAGAAATAAATAATTCACATTTAATTAATAGTCGATATTTGATTTATTAACTGGGTGTTCGGTGACTTTACTAGAGTACTGAACAAACAAATTAATAAAGAGCATGTAGAGATGCCTTTACGATTTTCGTGTGTTTATATATCTTTTTTATATGCTTTGAAAGAGTAATTCTTAATCGTGTGCTCTACTTCGTTCAGCATTCTTAATTTCAATGGGAATTTCTTTACTTTAATAAAATCCCTA